TGACTTTGTAGAAATGGTGTACATTTACGTCTGTTGGTTGAATGGATCACAAGTTCCATTGGTTTTAATTGTTTGTAATTGCGAGTATGCAAAGCTTGTAGATACTGTTATAGCAGAGTTTGGATTGGATACCACTAATGTGGCAGTCACAATGAAATATGTGTTGCGTAGTGTCCTACCTCCGATCGTAATCAATAGTGATAGTAACGCGTTGTCATACATGATGTTGAAGGATATGGATCGTGACCCTTCCAAATATCCAATAAACATTGAGGTCACAGAAGCAGAAATGGAGAAACAGCATTTCACGAACCGAGTGGTGTACAGTATAATGAACATGAATTTTTATTACTAGAAATGTACATTTAGCATCTGGGAAACTGCAGAGATTCTGTGTATCTTCTTTGTTAAAGTTGATTAATTAATTCTTTATTGAAAATTTTTGGGATTTTTTTATATACACTTATCCTCCTTGTAATCCAAATATAAGATTTAATAATAATGTTAATCGTTTATTAAAATGTTAATTTTACATTTACATTGAATACAGATATTATAATTTTAAGAAAATTATTTCGACTCCTCGATGGGCAATCGTGGGCAAATAATTGGAAGTATTAAAAAACTAGAATAAATATATTTTATCATTTATTTGTTTAATTGATTACATCTTCGACTGTCCTCTAATCAATAACTCTTTAAACTCTTATTTTCTTGATGTTGAGTCACAGGAAATAAGCTCTTACACATAGATAACCAACGTAAAAGAACGAAATACTCAAGGCTCTCACAAGAACAAAGGATCAGAAAAATTTAGCTTACAAATGAATCAAGAAAGAAGAGACACACATAAGACATAGGCAACAAGTGCAGTATCTCATCTTTCATTGAAACCAAACAAGAACAAAATTAGAATCAAATTCAAGGTCCTACTATTGGACCATTAGTTTGACTCTCATCTATATAATTTTTTCCAATATTAGTTATCAAAGTTCATTTCAAATTGTACAGGAATAAATTTATCTGCACCTTTTTGTTCTCCAATACACGAGCTTAAGAAAATACGTTCATGCACTTTTTGCGGCGCAACAAAATATGAGTATGAAACTCCAGCATTTTGTTATCAAAATGGTCAGGTACAAATATTTTCTACCTTATATTATCAAGCATTTGTATAATTTATTATTTGAAAATTTTCCATTGAACATTTATTAGGTCCAACTTGCTGAAACAAAGTACCAAATCAACTGTATCATTTGTTTACTTCACAGTCGAGTGAAGGGATTTTATTTCAAAAAAACCTAAGAGGTTATAATAGCATATTCTCCTTCACTTCGTTCGGTGTAAATTTGGATAAAGATCTCGCTACATCAAACAAAGGAGTGTACACGTTTAGAGCTCAAGGGCAAATATACCATGATCTTCCAGCTCTTTTACCATAAAAATGACCTATATTTTTCCAATTGTATTTTTACGATGTTGATCACGAATTAGAAAATAGGATTCACATACTAAGAGATGCCGATGTTGATAAGACCATTGTTCAACGACTAATGCAAGTTCTACAACACAATCCTCATGCTCAATTTCTCCGTACCATAAAGGATCAATCATGCATTGACAATATACAGATACATGTTGCAAGCAATGTTAATGTTACAATACACCGACTATCGATCAAGTGGCTGCCTTATGGATAGAAGGAAATGATGATCTCATACCTTTTTGACAGGGATATTGTTGTTCATGCACATCCTGGAAATCGACATAATATTCGGCACTACTTCAGTTGTTACGAGTCACTTCAATATCCTCTGCTATTTCCAAATGGGGAGGCGGGTTGGCACTAAGACATTAAGAGAAATAGAGTTGAAAATAATGTAACCAGCAAAATGATAAGTACAACTACGACCACCAACGATTTCTCCCAATTTAATTGTGTAAAGGATATCATCATAAAAGAACGTCATGGTGAAATTCATTTTTTTGCATACAAATGCATTTATTTAATCTAAAATATTTCATATAACCATGATCTGATATATATTATTGTGTTTTTCAACAAAAGTTACCCGAACCCAAGCATCAAAAATATCTTGCTGAGAATATTATTGTTACAAGCTCCAAATTCGGTCGTCTAGCAAATCAATACTTCTTTGGGTAGGACGACTACTACAACAATATATTGTTAACATGTTTATAAAGCTTGAAACTACTAGGGAGAATCATTTTTTGGACGATTCTACCCCTACTTACATGCATGTATAATAATTAACATTGAAAAGAAGGCCCAGGATAAAATCAAGGTTGCTAGGTTATTGATTGCAGAAGCCAAGGAGTCCTATGACACTCAGTTAGAGATTCAAAAATTGAAAGATAAAGTGATAAATATACATTATATATCCAACTCTTAGTAAAGCATTTATGTAAATGCATGCATGGACACATACAATGGTAATTACATTGTATATATGTGACATGCATCAGCAGCATCAATTTTTTGAATTTCATAACCAAAGTACTGACACAAACACACAAACATTAGTAGCACTAAATATATAATATACTAAATATCACATGAAAGGAGAATCATTTTTTGGACGATTCTACCCCTACTTACATGCATGTATAATAATTAACATTGAAAAGGAGGTCCACGATAAAATCAAGGTTGCTAGGTTGTTGATTGCAAAAGCCAATGAGTCCTATGACACTCGGTTAAAGATTAAAAAATTCAGATATAAATTGATAATTATGCATTGTATATCCAATTCTTAGTAAAGCATTTATGTAAATGCATGCAGTGGTAATTACATTGTATGTATGTGACATGCATCAGCAGCTTCAATTTTTTCAATTTCATAACCAAAGTACTGACACAAACACACAAACATTAGTAGCAATAAAAACCTAAGTTCATGTACCCATATGGTGGTTCATGTACACACTTCTTTTATCTATATTCATTGATTCAAATTAATGAGATCTCATGTTCATGAATGAATTTGATTGTAGTCATGAATTAATCTCTCAATTATTTATATTATTTTCACAAATTGGTTGTTGTTACATTTCAATCAAATCATCAAATATTTTGCTCTCCCCCATTGTGGAATCAAAGGCTATAAGAGATTTATCAGCATATGAAAATGAATGGTCCACTAAAGTGATGGTAGATTGAAAGGGTTTAGTCGAGTCTTATTTCAACAATACTAAAAATTTAGATCTTTTCAAGGTCATCCTAATTGACGAGGGGGTAATATATTTACTATGATGACCTTTATAGTTAATATTTCTAAATTCATCTTCCAGATCCAAATACTGACATGGCATAAATATTTCATCTCCTACATATCTTTACGTGTTTCTATAAGTCTTTTACTTTATCATTAATACTTTAATTCATCTTATAGGATATTATGTTTTTGACTTTTATATTTGTACAGTAAAATTGATAGTGAGAATTTGAGATGTTGCAGAGATCAGAGAAAGGAAAAAAAGGGAAAAAAAAAACTTTCATCTTACTAATCCAACAACTTAGGTTCTGGTATATTTAATAATTCTGAATCTATCCTTCAATTAATAGTAATTTATTATAATTTAGTCAACATTAAAGGTGTTGAACTTGCACTATTAATTCTTTTATCAATGTCAAAATGCTTGTGTAAAGCAGGTTATTGTGAAGCAACTACAAAAAGTTTTAATTAAGTCATATACCCCTGATCATACAAAAGATATAGTGTACAAAGAGATTCTCATTGAATAAAAAGTTCATTTCACATCAAAAAAATTTCACAACTATCTCCCAAATTATGATATTTTCAAATATTATTTTTACGACACTTATAGAGCAATTCAGAACAACGTGCAATGCACGTTTACTTTTGACTAGTTATACAATAAATGAAGCAGAAATTCCGATATATGTCATTGTCGGATAAAAAGAAAAAATGCATTGAGTTACTGTCATGTCCAAAGCGATCCACGCTATTAAGTTGTAATTTTGTTAATGACGTGAGTTTGGTTATTAGTAAATTTTTCGTCAATTATTCGCTTATTAGTTCTATTATTTATTTCAATTGAAATAAAACTGTATATTAAGAAGACTTAAATTCTCTAACAGAACTTCAGTCAGCAACAGGTTTTTGTTTCATTTACCACTGCAAAGAACCAAGGAATCCTAACCAGAAACTTCTACATATAATCGATTTTTAATAACAAGGCTGAACGTACAAATCGCCCTCTACATATATATACTCTAGATGAGTGACAGATAAAACAGGACCAAAATATAAAGAAAAAGGAAAGTATCCCATAATCTAAATGCAATCATACTACAGGAGACACGCAAGCGAGAATTTTCATGGCCTGTTATCCATTTTTAGCATCTATGGATCATGGATGAGCTAAAATGTGACTCGAACCATTAAAGTTCTCCTCACTTTGATGTTAACAGGTCTTTCTTTGTAGGACTGAACTTTTTCGACTGCTCTTCGCATTGGTCTCGTAATAGAAGTTCTTCGTGATCCCTGAGTTTCAAAATCAGAGTCATGACCACTGTCAAACTCTTCTTTTTTGTTAGATGAAGAAACTTGAGGTGATCCGTCTGCACAAGCGGGACTATTTGCAGGCATGGCAACTGGAAACTTGACATCTTCTATCTCAAACAAATTCTCATTTGGTTACTGTTGTTGGATTCTAGAACTAGCAGATTGTCTTCTTAGACAGCGTCTGAAGTAAAAACACAGAAATGTTAGTAATCACAATAAAGATAACGAATAGGGAAAGTAAGGTAATAACAATTTTAATTGTTGGACAGTGTAAAGTATAATCATATTGTATTCTCATGAAGACAAATTTAAACAATGATAATATTTTAGACACCGCCATTCAAGACGAAAAAATAAGATAAGCAAGATCAACGTCAATCATATAACCACAATGATCCAGATCATGAACTTCAAGATCAACTTGATTCATTTGCAAATTAAGTAAAATACCTTTTCCTTTCCCCCGCCTCTTTTTGAGCAACTTGTTGACATATTGTTAAAGGGCCAAAAGCTACAAAATACACAAGTTATATTAAGTTTATTGCTAAAAACAAGGCCTAATAAATCAGAGGGCATTGCCAATTGGATGTACATTGATTTCTAGCGTTACACCTCCGGTTCGCATTGCAAGTTTTGTAGTCCTCAGGTTCCTTTACTCCAAGAATGCATGACATATAGTAAGCGAGAGATGCAAGATCAATTAAATGGTAGAAAAAAGTTTAAATAAGTATCAGCTATTGCACCTGCAACTGATTTTTTTGAATGTTCACTTCTTCGTGGCCCTACAGAAGTTAGCAGGTTAAAAACAAGAACTTAAAATTATGAACTGTTCAATTCTGAGGTCCCCCATATCATGATGCAAAAATTGGGATTCATTCCAATAACATGGTAGAGGAATACAGTACAAATGTGATTCCAATTTGTCTAATGCATAAACGGGGTTATTAGTGAGAATTCTCCAATAAATGTTTGATAACGAGCACACGTGCAAACATGTAAAGCAGGGTACTTCTGAATTGTACGTGTGAAGATTCCCCAAAATTTCTTCACGAGAAAAAGAAAACTTATATTAAATATCTCTATGAAGTTAGAAATTTACTAAAAGATGTTCAACCGATATTTACTTCCGACTTGTCTAATGCATAAACGGGGTTATTAGTGAGAATTCTCCAATAAATGTTTGATAATGAGCACATGTAAATATGTAAAGCAGGGTATTTCTGAATTGTACGTGTGAAGATTCCCCAAAATTACTTCACGAGAAAAAGAAAACTTATATTAAGAGGGTATTTGATAGGCATTTTATGAAAAAATGCATTTTAGAATAGTAAATTAATGTGAAATGTGTGGTTGAAAAATAAGGAAAAAATTTTGATTTACGTATAATATTATTTTAATAAAGAATGTGTGGTTGAAAAAAAGAGAGAGAGAAATGCATTTTGAAAAAAATGGCTACCAAACGGAGCCTATATATCTCTACGAAGCTAGAAATTTACTAAAAGATGTTCAACCGATATTTACTTCCGATTTGTCTAATGTATAAACGGGGTTATTAGTTAGAATTCTCCAATAAATGTTTGATAACAAGCACACATGTAAACATGTAAAGCAGGGTATTTCTGAATTGTACGTATGAAGATTCCTCAAAATTACTTCACGAGAGAAAGAAAACTTATATTAAATATCTCTACGAAGCTAGAAATTTACTAAAAGATGTTCAACCGATATTTACTTCCGCTAGGCAAGCTCAACGTCAACAAAAAGAAAATATACTTGTATACCAGTGCATTTTCAAGATGAGAACACGTGACCCAATCACAGATGCGATTAGGGGGAAAATGAAATTAATAAACATTCAATTCAAAGATCCAACTTAAACAATCCTCAAATATACAAACAACATCTTATTAGCCCTAAGAGTAGAACAGACTAATATAAATTATATTTCAATCACAGAATGGAGAAGCATTTCAAATAACATTTCATTGTACTATTGACTGAAAAAATGAACTTACATTAAGTTCAAGATTCTTTGTTCTAAGAAGTGCTTCCTTACACCCAATCTCATGCTGTAACGCTTTTAACTGTGATGAGCAATAATGAATTAACTACAAATGTAAAGACATGGGATATCAACCAACCAAATTTGCCAAACCTTACCCTTTCTTTACCCAAATTAAGTTCCTGCATTCGTAATTCATAAATTAAGTACCACGCAAAAATGTCACTTTATCCTCAGTGTAGTATAGAGTAAATTTAATCAATGCTCGCCCCTCGGGCACTTCTCCACTGGCAAAGGAAGGGTTCTCTCAAGGCTGACAGTTTAGAGGTCGTGGGTTCGATTCATGGGGCTCTTGGAAGGCAAAGCATATACTGGAAGGCAGGATTTATCCTAGAAGGCAGGAATGTCTTGAAAGGTAAGGCGCAACGTGAGTTGGCTCACTAGGCATTTTGACAGTTCAGTTGGAGAGGCGCTCGGACCCTGATCAGTAGGAAGCACATCTCGTGGTTCAATTGGTCTGTGTGAAGAGGGGTCGGATCACAGACCTAAGGAATAGTCGTCGAAGGCGGACACCTTGATAAATAAAATAAAATAAAATTTTAATCAATGCTCACTAAAGTGTACATTACTACTTGCTCACCGAATATTAAAACATTACTCGTTGCTCACTCATCTATCAAATTGTTTACCAGTTCATCACTCATCTCATTTTCGTCACCCTAAACTAACGGACTCTACCACGTGGTGACCGGAATCCAATGTGGCACATCACACATGAAATAGGCCGGCCAAAAGTGAAAAAGCCACTCCTAGATCTTCATCTTCTCCCTCCATTTCTTGGACCCTGAATACAAATCAGTCAATGCAGCGGATTTGGGGGCAAATTTTGGGTTCTTCAGTCTTCACGAGTTTAGGGGCAAACTTGGGTTTCGATTTGGGGCAAGAAAATGGAAGGTGGAATTGGGGACGATTCTAGTTCATGGATTTGTGGGCGAATTTGGGTTTTGATAAATTAGAAATCAAAAAACTTTCATGGAAGCTACTGTGGTCGAATCTCTCGCACAGAGTGCTCAGAAAACTTAGTCGAAAGGTGAAGAGATCGGTGGTAGGGAAGATGAATTTGGGTTGCTACTGTTCCCACGATTCGACGGCTCATGGCGATGGAAATTCTGACTTACATTCCATTCGTCGTCGCTTGTTTTGTGGTTTTTGGTTGGTCATTTGGTGCAGACGGAGGTGGGATTTCGCCTGGGTTTGGTGTTGAACGGCAGACTCTGTGAACCCATGCCGACTGGGCATCTGCCTTCCATGTTCCGACTGAGTTTTTTGATTTTCCATCTAATTTATGTGCCACGTGGTATTTTCGTCTGCTACGTGGCACATTCCTTTAGTCTAGAATGATGGAGATCAGTTAGGTGATGAATGGGTAGATAATTTGATAGATGAGTGAGCAACGAGTAATGTTTTAATGTTCAGTGAGCAAGTAGTAATATACACTAAACTTTAGTGAGCATTGATTAAATTTACTCGTGTAGTATATATTGGTCAAAATGCAAACCAACTGACCGCTAACATATGACTATCTGATTGAGCAAGATTCCAGTTCTGCAGCTGCATTTTTTGAAGACAAGCTCTCAAATTCTGAATCTCAATTCCAGTCAATTCTACAATTTTACTGTCAGAATGTTAAGAATCCCAATTATTAGAAAAACGTGAGGGGAAAAAACCCAATGTGGCACACAAAATAGACAAAAAAATAAAATAAAATAAGTGCTTTTTCTCTTGAATAAGCTTCACCATGGCCATATTTTCCTGTGTTCACAAAGCAATAAAAATAATCAGAAAAGAAAAAATACCGAGAAATTGCAATAACATTAGATCCTATAATTTTGAACATGATCCAACAAAAAAATATATATGCATAAATAAATAGTATCTTGACTAGATTATCGATGTAGTCTTTAGCAGAAGCAGAATCTGGCTGCGACTTTCCAGGTATGATTGGAGACTTGGGCCGTGGCAAAGTATTAGTAATGTCTGAAAACCCCTTTCTCACCATGTTTCCCAAAGAGGATCTTTTTGCCACTTTTTCTCCTTGCATTCTGCAAGATTATAATAGAATCCCCTTTCAAGAACCTTAAGAAAATCAAATAAATCCTCAAAATTCAAGAAGCCCACCTAACTTTTCAATGAATTAGATCTGAATTGATACTGAAGATTTATTCTAATGGGTAATTAACTTCCCAAAGAGGACCTTTTTGCCATTTTATTCGGACCAATCTTCTGAATGGCCAGAATATTGATTCTATTTTTCACAATGGCCTTTGCTATTGGAAATACTATTTTACCCTTACTTTTATTATTTGCAAGATGTATCCTTCTCCTTTCGAGATTCATTAATCAGGACTTATGTTTGTATTTTTTAATTTTTCAAATACCTCTAAATATTCTCTATATCTTGATAATTCTTCAAAGATTCTAGGCTGATCTTTTTTAGTTATATATCCTAAAATTATTCCTTCTGAAACTTCTTCTTGCATATCTTTATATTTAGTTATAATATCTTCTACCTTTTTTATTTCTCTACTAGTTCTTACAGAATCAAATCTTATATTATACTCACAATAATAATCTATATTTCAATATATTTCTTCAAGTTTTTCTTGGCCAATAGAAAATATGTTTTCAGATTTTTCAGTTAATTTAAGTACAAACGAAATATCTTTCTTATCTAAATATAATCTAGGATCATTATCATCTTTAGAAGTGGATGTGGATACTTGTGAAGTGTTCATCAAAATTAATCAAAGCATAAGCATGTAAAAGCGAGTAAATAACTTACAGTAATATAAAAGTAAACAGGCTTTCCCTCCAGTATGCTCTTATAGATATTTTGCATGTACTTCTAATTTAAGTACAAACGAAATATCTTTCTTATCTAAATATAATCTAGGATCATTATCATCTTTAGAAGTGGATGTGGATACTTGTGAAGTGTTCATCAAAATTAATCAAAGCATAAGCATGTAAAAGCGAGTAAATAACTTACAGTAATATAAAAGTAAACAGGCTTTCCCTCCAGTATGCTCTTATAGATATTTTGCATGTACTTAAACAATCTTCTGAATCAAGTAAAAGTTTAAAATGTTTTTTTGAAATTATTTGGGTCCAAAACTGCTTCCGCACAAAGGCTTTTCAATTAAGGTTGCATTTCTCATTCTAGAGAACTAGCCGTGTTACCATAGACGCTATCTCACAGTATTCAGAGTCTCTGTTTTCACCTCTATTCAGACTCTTTTCAGAATCTAGTTCTTACTTGGAATGAAATTTTAAAAGATAACACACACAAGGTGCTACAATTTTGTTAGAAAACTACCTTTTTCCCCTAAACCATTCATCAAAGACGGGTACTTTTGCATGGCTAACATCCATTCAAAATCAATGTTTTGAAAATCTTTTAAAATCTCTATTTGTACTGCCGAGGAATCATGAGAAACTTAACGAAATCCTTTTATGAAAGTTTTGTTGAACATAACAAACTTTACTTTAATATTCATAAACTAAAATAGTGCATGCTTACAATCTATATTTACATATCTTTGGTACTCACCTTATGAAGTTTAGAACTCCATAAGTGATTACCTTATTACAAGCTTTGCTCTCCTCTGACTATCTAAAAATTTTCTAAATACAAGTGGTGTATACAGATTACAAAAAATCTATCTTTGAGATATGATTTTTCAGAGTGTTCTTTGAACTGCTCTCTTTCTTTTCTCTCCTCCCTTTTATAGAAAATTTTGAGAATCTTATCTTGACAGGTGTCTCTTTTTTTCTTTTGTTGGGTGGCTCAGTAGTCTTATCTCCGCCGATTTCTCCATTATTTTCTTGCTAGGTGGATCTCTCTTTTAGAAATTATCTGCCTTATCTTTGAAATTGTCTTTCACTTATGACAACCAGTAGGTGAGTAGTCACGATTATGAAGACTTTCTTTTGCTATCTTCTATTTTCTAGTAGCCACAGTTTTTCTTTAATAAATTTCTTTATTAAAGTAGTGATAAAGGGCCACTTTTGTTTCTATCACTTTTTCATCTTCAAATTAAAGAATTCTGCAAGGAATTCTTCACTGTTGAGAGATGTTTGACTCATATCTTCCACTACGCAGTATTCACAATGGTCGTTACTGTAGTTCCAGAGTAGTTTGCACAGTTCTTTCGCCATATCTTCTGATCCATGTACTTGGTTTGAAATAATTGCAGATAATAATTGGTCAAGATAACATATATCTTCTTCATTTGTAGCTATCCTTGCATTGGAGTAGATTATATGGTCTTCAGATGGATAAATCCATATTTTTTCTTTCTCAGTAATAATCTGAGTTACATATTCAAATATTTTTTTGTACCCTTTTGCTCTTCTGTAGGGCATTATATTTATAATATCTTGGTATCCATTTTTAACAATCTTTTGATTGGTTTGTAAAAAATGTTGGTTTGTAAGTCCCGTTTTAATAACATGAAATGATGGATGCATATGTTTAAGAACGGGATCTCATTCCATAGTTGCTGAATGGAATCTGATATATACGTTGGTTGTCTTGACTACTTCAGTGTATCTTTTTACAGCTTTTCTGACGTTGGCTGAAAGCTGGGCTATTTTTTTGAGATCTTTGCTGGGATATATACAGAGTATATTTCCTATCTCAAAATAGTTTCATACCCAATTGGCTGGTGCTTCTGGATAGAAGTTTATCTTGTTGTATTTTGCATAGTGGAGAGTTTTCATCCACTTTCCTATTTCCAGATACCAATCTGATAAAACATTAAAAATAACAATAAAGAATATGACTTATTCAGGTTATCTTTTGGGAAATTTTGTCTCATTGCATATTTTGACAATATCTTTTGGATTTATTCTTTCAATAGAAAGTTTAGATTTAGTTTGGCTCTGTGAAGAGTTACCTTCGCTTTTGATATTTTGAATATCTTCATTACCAGTAATAGGCTTATGTATTCCCTGTGAAGGGGTTCCTACTACCTTCTTATCTTTCCCTTTATCCTCGGGGAGAGCGCTAGTATTTACTGGTCCCTATGAAGGGATACTAGACTTGGTACAAGTTACTTCTGTCTCAAGGGCTATATTTTTGCCTTGAAGACTATCTTGGATATTTTGAATTTGAGTTTTCAAATAGGAAACTTTTATCTCAAGTATTTGGACTTTCATCCTTAGTTGCTCTAACTCCATCCCTGCTAAGATAATTAGGAAGAAAGTTAGTTTTACCTTTTATATATTCGATATCAAATTTGAAATATGAAAACCAAATTTGTATCCTGATAATATATCTATTGGCAATAGATGGATCAACATTATTTTTCAAAAAAACTTTAACTTAAGTATTATCAGCTTTAATCAAGAATTTTTTTGTTAATAAATAATCTTCATATTTTTGAACTCCCCTTTTTATAGCAATGAGTTCTTTTCTGTTCGTCCCATATCTCGTTTCAACTTCTTTGAATGTTCCTGATATATAACCTGCAAGAATCTCAGGACAAGAGCAATTCTTTTCACATTTATATTCCTTATGATTCTTTTTAACCTTTAATACTGCTCCCCAGTAATTGTTTGAAGAATCAGTTTCAAGGATAAAGAAATCTTCTTCTTGTGGAATTATAAGTTTGGGCAATACCTTTAATTCTTCTTTCACCTTCCTTATATTTTCACAATCTTGTTTTTCCCAAGACCATATTACATTTTTTCTTAACTTTGGAAGAAAATAATTTTTTAGTTTGGCACAATTTTCAATGAATCCTTCAGCATAATTCAATATATCAAGGAAGCTTTATAATTGTTTTTTATCTTTGATCTCTTTAGGAAAATCTTGAAATTTTTCTCCAATATGAGATTGCAATTGCAATTCTCCTTCTTTTATAAATAATCCTAAAAATTATATATCTGTTTTAGCTATCTCAGCTTTCTTTTGAGAAAGTGTAATACCATGTTTCTTCATAATATAACAAAATTTCTCAAGATGTTCAATATGTTTTTCAATGTTATTTGAATGAATAAGTAAATCATCTACATATGCAATACAAAAATGAGTAATTGGTTTAATTACCTCATCCATTCTTCTTTGAAATATCTGTGGTGCATTTTTCAACCTAAATGGAATTACATTCCATTCGTATTGTCCTAAAGGATTGGGGGTACTAAATGCAGTTAATGGTTTACTTTCTTCTGTAAGCATGATTTGCCAAAAACCTAACTTACAATCAAATTTTGAGAATATCTTTTTATTTTGTACTTTCTTAATAAGGGTGTCCTTATTTGGCAACTAATATCCATCAAATTTGATAACTTCATTTAACTTTTTATAATTTATCACCATCTTGACTTTTCCTTTTTTTATCTCGCTATGTTTTCTAACCATAAAGGTTGTGCTGCTATGTGGGCTTTTACTATGCCTAATCAAATTGGCTCCTAGCAATTCTTTTATCTGGTCTTTAAATTCCTTTTAGTCATCTACACTATATTTCATGGGTTTGACTCTTACTATAGTGTCTGGATTGATTAATTCTATTTTTGTATTTACTTTGTTTGTATTCCATTTTTCTAATAGATTTTCAGAATATGTTTCAGAAATTTCTTTTTTCAATTTTTCTAACCTATTTTCTGTTGTCATTTTTAGAACTGTAACTGGTTTAAATTTTTCTGTGCTCCAACATCCATCACGCTGGGTTGAGGAACTTTGATGGTTTATGTCTTTATATGCTATGGTAACAGCCTTATTTATTTTGGTGTAAATATTTTGTGTGCACAAGGAGTTGTGAACATATACTTATCAATATATTGTGTAAATTGTGCGTATTTTAATGGAAAATTTTGTCCTAATAAAATATCACATCCAATTGTGTTTGACATATATATTGTATCAATAAATACTTCTCTAAAGGAAATTAGAAAAGGTACTTGCGTAACATATTTGCTGTATATTACTTTATTTCCACCTGCTGTTGTAGCAGTGACGATCTTCTTTGAATTATATTTTCAGTATTCAGATGGTAATACATTTAGTAAGCATAAGCTTATTGTACTTCCTGTATCTAAGTAAGTATGAAATTTAATTCTGCAATAACTTTTTATATTGAGTATAATTTCAATATATGGACTCATGGAATTAGTACTGATTACTCTTTCCATGATAACAATGATTTCATATTTTCATCTATTCTTGAAATGATGATTGGATTATCATCAACTGTTATTTTTA